CAGCAGGTGACCTGAGAGCAGCCGGAGGCTGCGGGGTCTCAGCTAAGCCAGGCGGCTTATCATCGGGCGTATCATCACCGCCTCCCTTTGAACCCCGGTCCGGAATCTACCACCTGCTCCCCAGCTGGGCCGGGCCCTGGCCTTGTCTGGTCTGTCACCTTCACACCTGCTCACTCATGCCTTTACTTTTCCTTTGGTCACGCCCACTTTTTAGTGGAGAAACTTGAAGTACAGATACATTTCCGCAGTGTGCACTCAAGAGAATTGTGTCACTTTTACCAATTCGGGCACGTGGTGATTGTTAACATTATGAAGACAGTCTCAGCGCCAAAATTCCTGATTGACAAATGATAGTATTCGCTCCATTTTCCTGAACTGCTCCTTCCCCCATCCCGTGTGGCTATTGATGCATCATTCCAATCTGGTTTGTCATGTTTATCCCTGAGCCTGCTCAGTCCTGCACAAGGCCATGTGCACTGCAGAAGAGTGAAGAATTTTTATGTGCTTGCACTGTGTACATATTTACAGATGTGCACATGTTCAATAAAACACAGCTGTAGTTGAGGTCAGTTGCATATATCACCTTTTTTTTCTTTCCTCCAATAAATTCACCATTTGGCTTAGTTTCCAGGTATCTTTTGTAGAATGTAGGAAAATCTGAATAATTGTGATGTATTTGGGGGATGAGAAATGAAGCTAAATGTACAGTTTGACTGACCGTCAGAGCAAAATCAAGGTATATATTTAAGGAAGTGAAAATTACAAAACAGGTTTTACACAAGCAGTCCAACAAGTCCCAAACCTTCTCCAGGTGGTTTAGGGGGTCTCATCAAAGGGCAATCCCTGAGACACTTCACATCCTTTCACTAATAAACACAAATCTCCCTAGAAAAGGCAACTCAGCCAGTGAAGAGGGAAAGCTAAAGCCATGTTAACCAAGTGTTTGTCAACGCTATGCTGAAGCAACATCTATTTTGTCAATCATCATACCACAGTTTGATACAAAACCTCAGAAGCTGTCAGGTCAACCACCTAAATGCATTTCACTCCCCTTTTTAAAGGGGACTCCTAAATGGGGGACAGAAATCCACCAGGAGAGCCCCCTTGTGCTCCACAGAATCTTTAGCTCTGGGACTAGGGATCTGTGCTTCTCTTCTCCTGCCTCTGGGGCAATGTTTGACTGTAGAGGTGGGCACGGTGCTTACTGTCCTTGAGTTTTGTTTGTTTTCATCACTTAAATGCCCCAATTCTGTGTTTCGTGGACCCAAGCTCACTTTTTGTATGCACAGCTTTAATTCCACCCTCGGTGTGGGCTAAGGTTAGCTGTCAGCCGATGCTCCTTAAATAGCAGGGGGCAGGGAGGATGGGAAGGAAAAAAACAACACACTAATTTAGCAGTATGGTGACAACATTTTCCTGTCTAAAGAGTATCATCTTAACACCCACCTCATGGCAATCTCCAGCTCATGTGGCGGGGGATCAGGCGGCAGAAAGCAGCAAGATTATCTTGTTAGCAAAAACGAAACAAAAACATCCCAGCCAGGATGCCCTTCTCAGAGCACACCAGCTACAGCACGGCCTCTGGCAACTGTGCTTCTGCAAGAACGACACAGGACGCCAGGACGCCCAGGGCAGAGCCGGAGAGTCACAGTGCTTGTAATTCAGGACCCCAGTTTCGACAGGGGATGTATTTTTAATGACCTTCAGTATAATAAATGCCTAACAATTCAATGAAAATATCACCATCTTTCCTATAATAAATTTCCTGGTTTGTTTTACATTTTACTTAGAAACACATATTTAACAGATTCTTTCATCAATTTTATACACCTTCAGGTTGATTAGGGATAAGGCACACTACAAATTTTTACTCACCTTTGACTTTTTCTATGTGCACTCTGCCTACTTCCCTCTGCCACCATCTACCCAAGAAAACCAAGAATAACCTTCTAACTGTGGGAGGGCTGGGAGTCCTGCCTATGTCACTGATTCCGTTTCCTCAACCACAGGATGAGGGCAGTACCTACCTTGCAGGACTGTGGAAATTAGAGATATTATATAAAGTTCCTAGTACAGGACCTAGGGACACAGTCATTACTATTACTATTCTCAGCCTCATGCAAAAAAATACCTAAAATCCCAAAGTGGCAAAAGAATATTTGTGATAAATATCCAAAAATTATTTTTAAAGAAAGATACACAAGCCAATCTTATAAGATTCTGAAAACCCTGTCACCTGGTTTATTTCTGGAGAAGGGTAAAGGGAGAATAGTCACCTGAATTTGAGGGGCAGCTCAATTGGAACAACAGCAGCAGCAATTCTATGCCTCTAAGGTTCCTCTGATCCATAGGGAAGGCTTAAACTTCCTTGTTTGATTCAAGAGTCTAATTTTTTCCTAGAGCAAGATCATCCATTTTCATTGGGATAAAAGAATAAAGAACAAACTCAATAGCACCAAGTGAGGTTTAACACAGAAAATAGGGCCCAGTTTCTCCTTTCAGAGGAAACTCTTACATTAAAATATGTTTAGAAGTCGTGGTTGTTTTTCCTCTTGATTCAACCCTTCGCCCTCCCCCAGCAGGAGCCCCAGGAACCTGAAGAGCATGTGCCTCACTAACCAGAGAAACAATCCAGCCACCCCTCCCGGGACAGGACACAGGGACTACGCTCTCAGGGAGAACGGGTACTGGGGGTGCCACCAGTCAAAGAGGCGAACGCTGTGCACTGGGTCCAGGATGACTTGCACACCCTGCTCACTGCGCAGTTTCCGACCACCGTGCACAGGAGTATCTTGGAACACCAGTCTCACTCGATGATGCCGCATGTCCGTGCTCACATTGATCGTAAACTGGGAGGGGAAAGCAAATGACATTACATCCCATACCCAAATTGAACTTCTTCTCCTACAGCCCCTCTGAAATAAGAGTCTAGACAAAATTTACATTGGCAAGGCCACAAGATAATCTCTGCAAAGATATAAAAAAATTAAGAGTGATTTTATAAGTTCTTCTTAGCTGGATATATATATTTAAAGTAGACTAAGAAATGGCTGAATAAATCAGGATATATGCACAAAGACTACCACCAAAGCCAACTTTTAAATATTGGGTTAGAGCTGGATGACTTGAAGGAATAAATTTTGAACAGATATTGTTGAGCAAGTGAAACCAAGATTCATAAAACACACCCAGATCCCGTTTTTTGTTTTCTTGGTAAAATACACCACAAAATCTCTAAATATGTTTATGCATGTGTAGGTCCACATAGAACAATATGGGTATTAAGTACCTAACGTATGAGTGATACACAGCGAGGTCATTAACATGGCCTAACCTAGAGAAAGGGGAGAGGTGCCTACAATAAGAGCAGCTTGTATGACATTACACAAAATTACTTAAGAGGGGCCAGGTACCCAAGCACATACTAACAGACACATTAAAGAACAATCCCTAAAAGGTAAATTGCAGTTGTAGGTTATCAGAAGTCCGTCAATGTATATATGCGTTATTTAAATTCCTTAAATTATTTATTATTTATTTTGCCATTTTAAAAAAAAGCTATCTAGGGCTCACGTACAGCCTCATCCTTGTCCCTACTACAGCGGTTCTCAACCTGGGGGTCGAACGACCCTTTCACAGGGGTCGCCTAAGACCATCGGAAAACACATACATAATTACATATTGTTTTTGTGATTAATCACTATGCTTTTATTATGTTCAATTTGTAACAATGAAATTGGGGGTCACCACAACATGAGGAACTGTATTAAAGGGCCGCGGCATCAGGAAGGTTGAGAACCACTGCCCTAATAGGATCTGTTTCTCACATTAATGATCACTACAAAGGAGAAGCAGAAACATTCCCTTTACTTCAGAGAAGAGATAAAATACTCTCAAACATGCATAACTGCTACACAAATTTGTTCCTAATATACAACTCTGCTTTCAGACTCTTTTAAATCTTCATTAAAGACTTCTTCTTCAATGGTTAAATTTACAAATTTCTTTTAAAACCTAGGTAGTCAGAGTCTGTGAAAGAGCGGAGGCGACATCCTGTCTCCACTTACCAGGGTGAATATCATCCCCATAACAATGGGAATAAAGATGAAATTGAGGGTGGTGACCTGCAGGAGGCAGCAGTCATGGTCGGGGTTGGTGTGAACATCCTGGTACTGAACAGGAGGCTGCAACCCTCCCACACACTTGCTCTTTAATCTGGGGGACTGAGGAGAACGGAAAATTAATCTCATGGCTGAGACGACATGTTTACGGACAAGACTCCACCAATGACAATTTTATGACTCAACTGATGCTATGAGACCTATGTTTCTGTTTTCTCCTCTTTTTTTATGTACATATTGGCTTCCATAAAGATCAAGAAAACCTGCCATTTGAAAGGGACACACCTTTGGATGGGCAATGTGGAGTGGGTGCGATGCTGCATTTAGATGGTATTTCCTGCCACTCGGCAAGAAATGGAAACGCACAGCTGCCAGAAGCCCTCCAATGTCTGGAAGACCGCAGATTCCCTGTGACCTGTCAACTGCAGACAACATATGCTGCACAAAGGGGGACACCGGCCCCCACTCCCAGGCATCCTGCACGCTGTGTTCCCGGGCCCAGGACCCACTCTCTGCATTAAGCTGCTACACCCTGTGTGTCTTTCACATAGGAGTTCCCCCTTCATTTTCTCTTCATGGCATTATTACAGGTTTTGATGTGTATTTTATTTTAATAAGTCAACCTTATGCCTAGCTAAATTTACTAGAACAAGATATCTGAAAAACAAAAAGGAGATACAATTACTTACCTGTTTTTTAAACTTGAAGTTGAATTCCCACATTGGTTCCTGTCTGTTCCCAACAATCTTTCGGTACCAGAAAAGTAAGCACTAAAAGAAAAGAAAATAAACCAAAAATAAGTAAAAGACAGAAAAGAAAAAAAA